AATATTCGTTTTAATTTAGAAAAATTAAATTTTCACACAATTTTGAGTTTAATTGCCGAAGGGAATTTCCGCCACATCAAACAAACATAAATATTTAATTTTAAAATGTTTAGAAATCATTACGTTCCTGAAAAAATATCTTTGTGAAATAAATTAATGTGAGCAAGTTTTATGTTAACTCATAACGTCTCGAAAAATACTTGACCATCACAAACTCTGATCGGTATTTAAAATTAAGTAATAATTGAAAGAGTTTAGAAATTAATCAGCATTATGGGGTAGGAACTTGTTTAAAAGTTGCTGGTTATGTCTGGATGTGTGTTGAAAAATGTTTTAATAACTTTTCAGATTGTCTAAATAATTCATACCTTTTGATTTTTTTTATTTGTTATACCATTATGTTTTTTTTTTTAAATTTAATTATTTTAATTAAATTTCATGGTTTTGAAAACTATTTTATTACTAGAGGGTTTCAATTGGTTAGCCTCTCATTTTTTAAAATTATGCATAGTTTAAAAAAGCTTTATTTTACGTGTATTGCGTTTTGCGGTAATCAAAATGAGTTTAAACTTGTTAAAATAATTGCATATTTTAAAAATGTTTATTTTTATGTATGTGAAGTCTTTTAGTTTAATTTTAAACAGTATGTTTCAGAGTTGGACGTACAGTAATCGATTACAACTGTAATTAGTTACATATAACTACTGCTATGTAATCAATTACATGGCACAGGGGATAGAGCGTTCGCCCTCCAATGAGGTGAACCGGGTTGGAATCCCAGCGTGGCTTCGATACGAATTCTGCATCCGGCTTGCACCGACCACAGTGCAGAAGTGAAATATCCTCAGTGGTAGACGGATCATGGGTTATATCAGACTATCCTTGGGTAATTTTGATTGGGTCGGCTGTTCAACGACGGTTATAAAATAAAATAATCATAAATTTTAATTACATCAGAGTAGAGCAAAAATGTAATCGACTACATTTTTCAAATATAGTAATCAATTACTTGTAAACATGATTACAAATTTTGATTACAACTGTAATCGTGATTACAACACTCAATAACAGTAATCAATTACTTGTAATCATGATTACAAGCATTCATAATTTTGATTACAACTGTAATCGTAATTGCATAATCAATTACTGGCAATCACGATTACAACTGCAATCAAAATTTTTAGAAGTTGTAATCACGTATTTGATTACTGTATTTGTTTGTTGTAATCACGATTACAACTGTAATCAAAATTATGTTATTATTGTTGTATCGTTGTTTTAATTTTTAGTGAATACATTTGCCAGCTGAGTTAAATGATTGCGTTGTGTTTTCTAAATTTTAACTTTAAGTACTTGATACAACATAATTTTTTAGATTGTTAACCAGATTGGTAGCCATGATCGAAAAAATTCAACTTTAAATCAACATTAATTAATTAAAGGATAATCTGAACTTAAATAATTAAAACCTAGATGAATTAAAATAAAACACCAATATTTAACATATACGAAAAGTATTTATTGAAATTAGTAAAAAATCTAGGTTAAATAAAATGGGTACAATACGCTGACACATGGACTGTACATTTCAGTCCTAACAAACTTCAATATTAACATTATCAAAACTTAAAACATTTAATTAAATTAAGTTTAGGGACTCTGAAGGAAAAGAGAGAGAAAATTCGATAAAAAAAAACGGTTTAAAAAAATTACTTAAGCTTGGCCGGCCGGCCGGAAGCGCGACATCAGGACCTAAAAAATAGGGACACCCTCTAAGAGGATTATATAATTTCCCAACCATACCATTTTGTAATCATGATTACAAGTAATTGATTACTGTAATCGAAAAATGTAATCGATTACATTTATGCCCAACTCTGGTATGTTATAGGGACCCAAAAACATTTCTGTGCCCGGGGGCCATGAGTTGAGGAGTGAAATTATATTATTTTTTGGAATCGACATTTTAAAATAAACTGATATTTACTCGCCATTTCTTAATCAAGAGTTTCTTGATTGAGGCTTTAATTTGTCTACCCAAGTCAAAGTTTTTGATGGTTTTCTTTTGATGGACCAACATAATCTTGATGGTAACCATCAATCATTCCATCATAAACCATTCTATTTTTTGATGGTAACCAACATAAACAAACATCACCTCAATGTAGGAATTCGGATTGATTCATGATGGTCCAAGATAAGAAAGCAACTTGTTTTGATGGTTTGTTCATGATGAACCATCACGAATTAAAATCATAAATCAAATGTTGGAACGATCATGAACAACCATCATCCCAATGTAGGAATTCGGATTGATTTATGATGGTCTAGGATAAGAAAGCAACTTGTTTTGATGGTTTGTTCATGATGAACGATCACGAATTAAAATCATAAATCAAATATTGGAACGATCATGAACAACCATCATCCCAATGTAGGAATTCGGATTGATTTATGATGGTCTAGGATAAGAAAGCAACTTGTTTTGATGGTTTGTTCATGATGAACCATCACGAATTAAAATCATAGTTTGTATCTTAGAAATCAAATGTTGGAACGATCATGAACAACCATCATCCCAATGTAGGAATTCGGATTGATTTATGATGGTCTAATGTAAAAATTAAAAAAAATTGTTCTGATGGTATATTTCCTGAGAACCAACAAGAACCCCCACTAAACCATCATGGAAATGTATAGTTGGAACCATCACAGATCCTCATTGATTGTTGGTCCATGAGAGACAAACTTCTCTTGATGGTTAACCATCAGAGTATTAAAGTAGCATTTTCCATCATGGAATGATGGAAGTTTGTTGGCATATAAAAAACCATGAACACGTAATGGAAAATATTGGATGATTATGACCATCAAATGATGTTGTACCATCATGAATCACACTGAAACTAACATAAACCATGAAAATTTTTTGATGGGACCACCAAGACTTCCGACTTGGGTATACAAATATCTTTGCCATTGTGTAAAACAATTTTCCAGCAGTTTAAATAAATAATAAAAGTATTGATCATTATAATCATCGTCATTTTATCTTAATTTACATTTTTATAAAAAAATTTATCGATGCGCTGTTTTTACATCTCTTTGTAAATAGTATAGGCCCGCAATTTCTTCTACTTTCCATACTTTTTCCCTCTCCATTGCCATGGTTTCCGTAAATCTTGCTTTACAAAAAAAAAAAAAAGTACAAAAAAGCTTTACAAAGAAAAATGTACCGTCTAAAAATAACACATTTATTACAGAAACTATTCTTATACATGACATTTTAGAAGCCATCATGAAAATTAATTAAACAAGCATTCAAAATCACAAATAAATTTGAAAAACCATTGATAATAAATTCAGAATTCAAAAATAAATTTTACTACAATTTGTGATCACACTCTAGAAACCGAACAAGAACAATAAATTAACTAAAATATAGAAAGAACTAGATAACATAATAATATTCTATAGAACAAGTTTCAATAAATATAAACTTAGAAATATGTGACACCTATTCTCACTTTCTTTTTTCTTTCAACAATTAAAAAATGAAATGAAAAAGGTTTGACGAATTATTTCAACATCAAAAACATTCTAAATAAAATGATTTGGTTAACATACAATTTCAATAAAAATATAAATAGGAAAATAAAAATCAGAATGTACAAATATAAGGTCAATGTACCTGAATATACCGCGTTCCCTAATTCGGACAGTTACTTTAAATCCTAATTCAAGATTCATCCGTAAATGAGATAGAATAAGAATTTCGTGTGTCTTTAGCATATCCCGATTGGTTTCTCACATTTAAAACCTTTTTAAAACGGGCAATTTCGTAAAACTTAACTTTTTTTACATAAGTTTAAATAATGAAATTTTACATAGCAAATTACAAAATTTGAGCGAATTCGATCGAATAGTTCCAAAGAAAATACTTTTAAACAGTTGTAAGTTTGAAAGTCGATTTCGCTTAATTTTTTTTTTTTTTTTAATTTTGCATTTTAAAACTGCATTCTTTAAAATGGTGGGGGGGAAATCCCAAACCTTACAATTCAAAAGTTTTACGACTCTTATTAAATAAAATAATAAATATTCAATGAAAGTTATATTTTGCATGGAATAATCTTTGGATAAACGAATTTAATAATAGCGTGCAAATTTTTTTTTAATTCGCTTAAAAAGTTCTCGAGATATGTAAAAGAAAAATTAATATTAAGGGGTCTAAGTTATTCGGACAATATTTCTAAGATTGCGGCTATCCTCAATACTTTAGGGGTCAAAAATTTGAAACCGTCGAAAAGATAAGTTTATCCAAAAGAAAGTGCGTTTTTGTATCTCATTTCGTTATCTAAAATATTGTCTACTCTAATTAATTAGCATATTAGAAGCCACGCAAAATATTCTGAAATATTGAACTGTGCGAAAATGACTATCATTATGTCTGATGGAATTAAATAAGAGAAATAAATCAAATGCGATAGATAAAGAAAAATAACTAAGAATAAAAAACAATGTAAACTAAAAACAATGTAAATAAAAAGCAACTGCAGGGGAAAATCCCGGCTATTTTAGTTATTCCTTAAAATTAGTTTGCATTATTAGTTTTTAATTTATATAAAAAGAGCGAATATAACTATCTCTATGAATTAATACTAATTCTTTAAAAAATGTCATATATTTCCAGTGTGCAAAAAATATACTTTGAATGCTTTAAATCGTGTTTTTTTTTTCTGAACAATGTTTTAAAATGCCATAAATATCGTTCTCGGTGGGAAAAGTTATTTCTTACAAAATAGAAAGAATTCGAAACAAATGTCTGAAATTAAGTTAGATTCTTTGATCTAGTTTTCTTTATCGTTTTTTTTTTTTCCCCTTAATAAAATGTATGCCTGCATGTATGTACATGTTTACAAATTGTTTCGACAAAAAGTAAATAAATTTGCTTTCAATATATAGAAGGCAATCGAGAAAAGCGGCAAGGTATACCTGGAATGCCACAAATTCCGGGAATGCCAGAAATACCAAGAATGCCTCAAATCCCGGGAATTCCAGAATTACCAGGAATGCCTCAAGTACCAGGTATGCCGGAACTTCCGGGAATGCTCCAAATACCAGGAATGCCTCAAATACCAGGTTTGCCAGGAACTCCATCACAAAACAAGTCAAAAGAAGATAAACCACAAATTCCTGGTTCTCCAGAAATTCCTAAAATCCCGGGAATGCCAGAAATGCCACTAATTCCAGAACTACCGGGAATTCCCCAAATCCCAGGAATGCCACAAATCACCGGATTTCCAGGAACTCCCTTTATATTCCATAAAAAATCAAAAAATGGAAAAACGACAAATTCCAGGTATGCCAGAATTACCTAGAATGCCTCAAATTTCGGGAATGCCAGAATTACCCGGAATTACCGGGAATGCTACAAATACCCGGTTTCCCTGGCTCTCCCAGTAAAGCGTGATATGTTTACGAAACTGAGATACTTTCCAAGCATTAGCAGCATGTTTTTTGCTCTTCTTTTTATAAAAAAAAAATTTCTCAGATAAATTAACATCTATAATTATTAACGTATTTTAAATTAGTTCAACTTGTAATTTAAAATTTCTTGATTTATTTCCAGTCTAGAAAATAAACACATGTGTAAAAATAAAACTCATGGCTGTCAGTCATTGTGTCATAAATTTAATAAACATAAGCATTCTAAAAATCTGTGTTTTTGTACAAATTTAATGAGCGTCATTTTTCATTCGTTTAAATTGGATTTTTTTTCTGGAATTTGATTCTTAACACATTTTCGGAAAAAGTATTTCTCTCTTTTTCAAAACCTAAGTTTTCATAAGAAGCGACTTTATTGAGCCAAAAATTTTTTTTTCGTCTTCTTCAACACGTTGCATCAATATTTTTTTCTTAACCCTATGATTCCGACAATATCGTTGTATTTGTGGCTTTCAATACGGGACTTTTCAGAAAGGCNAGTAAAATATGATGTTAATTTTGGTAACTTTTCAATTACTTCTTTCTGATGTAGAGCTTTTTTCCTTTTTTCAGATCCACTAGGATATGACCGTTTCGACATTTTATATTATAATTCACTATTTAATTAATTTTATAACGAAAATATTCGCTAACACAAAACAGACAAAACGACGATTTAATCAAACAATACTATTTTTTTTATCAGAGCTCGAGCACAGTCAGTAACAAACTAACAACTACAAACAAAACAAACGCCACAACATCGCAGACAAATACTTGAAGGGAATTCCCGTTCGTCAAGTCAAACGACGATCGGGAATCGGGAATTCCCCTTTTTTGTCTTTGGTATTACGAATGACGTTCGAATAGGTTTCTTTAAGACATAAACCACACCGCATCAAATAATTCTTTTTTTAATTTAATAATTTTTTTTTAAATTGTATTCTTATACTTACATATAGGTATTTAAATTAACCTAAACATACTAATATCGGAAAAACTCATTTTTGAGAGAGAGTGGAGTATTATACCCTGTTTATTTATTAGTTTGATCTTTCTTTTTGACAGATGTCAAATCTGAAATCGATATAACTTTGCAACGACGAACAATATCTTCTTATTTTAATAATATTAAAAATTGATAATAATCATAAGAATAGACACACAACATAAAAGTACCTGTTAAGGACTCAAGCATTTTCCGAAAGTCTTAAGTGGTTTTTATTGCTTCGAGGTAAAATTTAAATAGAAAAACTGAAAACAATGGTTTCTTACCTACCCAATGTTTTTATGTCTAGTGCAATAAAATTGATTGACGAATGAATTTATTTATTTTGAATAGTTTAAAACATACATACAGCCACATATTTAGCCAACACATTTTTTACACCAATAGATATTTTCTGTTTCCCATCACTGACCCATCTGTCAAAAAGTTCAAGCTATGTTGTACAAGGTATAGCTATCCGCATGCGGCAAACTAAAGCTAATATAATAAGCGTAGGTATTGTAGTAAGTCATTATCATCAGATTTTTCAAAATTAATGTTTTTCGGTAATAATGTATCGGTTATCATTTGGTAATCTGGCAGGAACTAGGGGGCCCCATTCGATCGCGGGGCCCTGGGCACGTGCCCATAGTGCCCAGTGGGGAAGAGGGGCCTGATCTTAATTGCATAATCAATTACTGGCAATCACGATTACAACTGCAATCAAAATTTTTAAAAGTTGTAATCACGATTACAACTGTAATCAAAATTATGTTATTTTGTAATCATGATTACAAGTAATTGATTACTGCTCGAAAAATGCAATTGATTACATTTATGCCCAACTCTGGTATGTTATATGGACCCAAAAACATTTCTGTGCCCGGAGACCCTGAGTTGAGGAGTGAAATAATATTATTTTTTGGAATCGACATCTTAAAATAAACTGATATTTACTTACCATTTCATAATCAAGGGTTTCTTTATTGAGGTTTTCATTTGTCTACCCAAGTCAACATTCAACCTTTGATGGACCAACATAATCTTGATGGTAACCATCAATAATTCCATCATGAACCATACTATTTTTTGATGGTAACCAACATAAACAGCCATCACCTCAATGTAGGAATTCGGATTGATTTATGATGGTCCAAGATAAGAAAGCAACTTGTTTTGATGGTTTGTTCATGATGAACCATCAAGAATTAAAATCATAGTGTGTATCTAAGAAATCAAATGTTGGAACGATCATGAACAACCATCATCCCAATGTAGGAATTCGGACTGATTTATGATGGTCTAATATAAAAATTAAAAAAAATTGTTCTGATGGTATATTTCCTGAGAACCAACAAGAATTCCCACTAAACCATCATGGAAATGTATAGTTGGAACCATCACAGATCATCATGGATTGTTGGTCCATGAGAGACAAACTTCTCTTGATGGTTAACCATCATAGTATTAAAGTAGCATTTTCCATCATGGAATGATGGAAGTTTGTTGGCATATTAAAAACCATGAACACGTAATGGAAAATGTTGGACGATGATGACCATCAAATGATGTTGAACCATCATGAATCGCACTGAAACCAACATAAACCATCAAAATTTTTTGATGGGACCACCAAGAATTTTGACTTAAGTATTCAAATATCTTTGTCATTGTGTAAGACAATTTTCCAGCAGTTTAAATAGATAATAAAAGTGTTTATCACTAATCCTCGTCATTATATCTTAATTTACATTTTTGTAAAAAAAATTAATCGAAGCGCTGTTTTTACAGCTCTTCGTTAATAGCATAGGTACGCAATTTCCTCTACTTTCCATATTTTCCCCTCTCCATTACCATGGTTTCAGCAAATCCTGCTGTACATAAAAAAAAAGTACAAAAAAGCTTTACGAAGAAAAATGTACCGTCTAAAAATAACACATTTATTACAGAAACTATTCTAATACATGACATTTTAGAAGCCATGATGAAAATTAATTAAATAAGCATTCAAAATCACAAATTTGAAGAACCATTGATAATAAATTCAGAAATCAAAAATAAATTTTACTACAATTTGTAATCACACTCCAGAAACCGAACAAGAACAATAAATTAACTAAAATATAGAAAAAAAACTAGATAACATAATAATATTCTATAGAACAAGTTTCAATAGATAAAAACTTAGAAATACATGACACTTATTCTCACTTTCTTTTTTCTTTCGAGATTTAGAAAATAACACAAAAAAGGCTTGCCAAATTTTTTAGCTCAAAAACATTCTAAATATTCCATAAAAAATCAAGGAGTTCCATAAAAATAAAATCCATAAAATGGGAGTTCCATAAAAATTCATATTCCATAAAAAATCAAGAAAAATGGAAAAACGACAAATTCCAGGAATGCCAGAATTACCTGGAATGCCTCAAATTTCGGGAATGCCTCAAATTCCAGGGATGTCAGAATTACCAGGAATGCCGGAATTACCATGCCGCAAATACCCAGTTTCCCAGTAAAGCGTGATATGTTTACGAAACTGAGTGACTTTCCAAGCATAAGCAGAATGTTCTTTGTTCTTCTTTTAACAAACAAAAAAATATTTCTCAGACAAATAAACATCTACAATTATTAACGTATTCTAAATTAGTTCAACTTGTAATTTAAAATTTCTTGATTTATTTACAGTCTAGAAAATAAACATCTGTATAAAAATAAAACTCATGGCTGTCAACCATTGTGTTATAAATTTAATAAACATAAGCATTCTAAAAAAACTGTCTTCTTGTACAAATTTGATGAGCGTCATTTTTCATTCGTTTAAATTGGAATTTTTTTCTGGAATTTGATTCTCAACACATTTCCGGGAAAAACATTTTCTCTCTTTTTCAAAACCGAAGTTTTCATAATAAGCGACTTTTTTGAGCGAAAATTTTTTTTTCTTCTTCAACACGTTGCATCAAAATTCTTTTTTTAACCCTATGATTCCGACAATATCGTAGAATTTATGGCAGGGCTCGAAAAACAGCCCGTCCTCGACGGTCAAAAATTCTCCGCGGACAACGAATTTCTCGAATCCGACGTCCGCGCGGACGGCCATTTTCCCGTTAATGTTCGTGATACATTTTCAATTTTTGTTATCTTACAAGAGTCTTGTAAGTTACAAGACAGCAAAAAAAAATGACCCACAATACAGCAACATACTGCGCATATATTGATGTTTCCTCTGTCTGGGAGTACTGCAGCGGTTGAAAGGGGCTTTGCAGCAATAAACTTACAAAAAAACACAATACGTACTGGTCTTAAACAAGAAGCTTTAAAAGCAATTATGAACATCTACCTAAATGGAAAACCCCTTTCAGATTTCTGTTCAGAAACCTCTGTAAATCATTGGCTTGATTGTGGAACTGGCAAAC